CCTGACAAGTTTCTTTTTGTGCAAGTAGGGATGATTTATATTGCAAGTTTGGATTTAGGACCTTGCATGTAACTTTGAGAAAATGCATGCTGTGCAGCTTGGTGCAGGATGCACTGGGGCATCATTGAAGGCTAAGGATTTGCATATTTAACTTCCTTAATATTTTGCATTTTTTGCTTTTGGCTAAGCAATAGATGTGGCTAAGCATTATTTGGCCATTGTTAAAGTAAGCAAACTGCTCAAATGGCAAACTGCTCAAATGGCAAACTGCTCAAATGGCAAACTGCTCAAATGGCAAACTGCTCAAATGGCAAACTGCTCAAATGGCAAACTGCTCAAATGGCAAACTGCTCAAATGGCAAACTGCTCAAATTGCAAACTGCTCAAATGGCAAACTGCTCAAATGGCAAACTGCTCAAATGGCAAACTGCTCAAATTGCAAACTGCTCAAATGGCAAACTGCTCAAATGGCAAACTGCTCAAATGGCAAACTGCTCAAATTGCAAACTGCTCAAATGGCAAACTGCTCAAATGGCAAACTGCTCAAATGGCAAACTGCTCAAATGGCAAACTGCTCAAATGGCAAACTGCTCAAATGGCAAACTGCTCAAATGGCAAACTGCTCAAATGGCAAACTGCTATAGTTTCTCGAATCAATGAATTTATAAGTGAATAATTAAATGCAATGCTGTCAATCTATTAATAATTTTTCTTAATCAAATTCACAGAGTATGTACAGGCAAAGTCACAAAACAACATTATGCACTGAAATGCTTGGTGGATAGACCAAAAGCCAGGACAGAAGTAAATCTTATACATTGAACTTTATAGTCTCTTTATGTTACTGGTTAATTCAAACCGAACAGATATTGTGATTAGATCATTTTAATGCAAACCAACCAAGCCAACCAAGTCATTTTGCATGATAAGCATTTCAGTCCTTTCTCACACTCACAAACATCAAAGCAGAATTCTCACGCATTTTACAACAAACTTCTTACTTTATTTAAATTTTTCAATTTTGTTCCAAATCCAAGCAAAATCCCTCTTTCCTAGCAAGGCATGTTAGCATGATAACAGTGACTAGATAATGAGATGATTAGATAACAAAGAATCCATAGTAAGTTAAGTGTTGCTACATTCATTGGCAAGCCTACACAAATAGCAGGTTAGCTTTTTTTGCAACTATGACACATTGTGAATTTATTGGAAAGGTAAAAGAGGAGCATAATATCCCTTAAGTTAGAGTTTTACTATAGCCGATTGCAATCAGAGAGGTCAGAAGGGAGTAACTTTTTCTTGAGAGTGATATTTGGGTAGTAGTTACGGGAGTGAGTGATATTTGGGGCTCCGCTTGCTCGTACATCGCATTCCTTCCTCTGCATTCCTGGTCCACAGTGCTGTGCACTCTGCAATCATCATATGCGCAGTGCAGTTGCACCAGATTAATTCATTTCATGATTCTGTAGTTATGAATTCTTTCTCAATAAAAACTTAATAGAATGGCAAAAAGAAAGCCCCCTTGATCCCCCACCCACTTCTGCGGTCCCTGCTCAAAAAAGTCATTTCTGAAGAATAAGAGGGCCTGGCAAAAGAAAGGTTTCAGGGGCTACATCCCTGGAAAGGTTTCAGGGGCTACACCCCTGGACCATACTTTTGGTTCTATGGTAGTAAGAATTTGTTCTGGATATTAATCATGATTAGAGTGGTTATTAATCACTTAAATATTTTTTCTATTGCTATGCAGTAACCAGGAATGTAAATACCAGGGAGTGTAGGGGAATCACAGTCCTAAAATCTTTGAATTTCTTAGAATTAGTTGGAATTTTGAAGTTCTCAGGAGAACCATAGCAATTTGAATGCTCATTTACACCTGTGAACACTTTAACATAGCACTAGTGCCAATAATTTCTTGATTCAAAAAGGGACATGAAAGTACTGTTTATTAATGTAAAGGTTCTCTAAGTAAAACTAGATAAATTTTAGTTCATAACTATATAACAATTGACCTATAGTAAGGTGAGAATTTTATACCCTTCATCCACCCAAAAGTATTCATAATTTAACTCCCTGGCTGTAACAGACATATCAATAGACATTTTCTGTGATTCTAAGCATGAAAGCTGTATATCTCACCCAAAAGAGAAAACTAACATAGTGTCACATAACAAGGTAATTAGGCAAAGTCTTTTTTTTCCAAAATGTCACATGCTAAGATCATGGTTTTTAGGACAAAGAGCCATTTTTATCCTCACTCCCCCTTGCTAGCACCCTCTTGCCACCCATTTTATGTCATAAATGTGCACGGTAGATTTTTATTTTTCACACTTTGCAACATTAAACCATTTTTAATCATAATGTTTTTTAATTTCAGGTGGAACTGCATTACAGATGTAATCACCCAAATATTGTTCAAGTTATAGATGTGTATGCAAATGAAATAGTTTTACCTGGAGAAATGGTATCCAAGTAGGTTGCTAGTTTATAGGTCAATCCGTTGTTAGTGAGGTTCAGATTTCCTATATGTGCAAAGTAATTTTCATATTCAACAAAAATCATGATGATTTCTGGTCAGTTTATTCAGAGAAAAAAATAAGCAATTTTGTAGTAGTAAATATATATTTGTGCGAGGATGGCTCAGTGGTGCAAGGATGGCTCAGTTGTTAGAGGCACTGACTACAGACCCAAGGGTCCGTGGTTCGAGTCCCTGGCATGACAAAACTTTCACCCAGAGTGGGGAGAGTCACCAGCTCTTTGTAATTCCAGGCGTAGGAATCATGAGGTGTGGTCACATCGAGAGGAAGGACCAGGACACTGCTTGATAAGCATAGCTTCTCAGTGTCCTAAAAACTACCTTTTTGAAATACAATACAAATATTGCTGTCTTTGCGTAATTGTTCTTTTAGCTCCATTCAAACAAAGCTTCAGGGTCATTCCATGTCAAATCATCAGACCCATGTAACCCATGGTCTTAGAATTTCTTGATTTTTTCATCACAAAGAGCCACTTTGGAGAAAACACCACATACAAAATTTCATCCTTATATCTCTTATGGTTGCGATTTTGTAGCCGTTTCAAAAGTGACCCATTTTAGCCAAATATGCCACACCCAGTTTGCCAAGCGATGGGCGCGGCTTTCTATCAATAGCTGTAACTTTTCTATAGTTGTCAATATTTACTTGAAAATAATGTCAATTATTGATTTGATACTGTAGATTTCAAATATTGCATCAGAATTTGTCAATTCTCTAAGGTGAAGCAGATAGTCATATGTTAAAGGTTATCACTTGTTTTGAAAATATTCCCAACTGATGTATATAAATATTGAAAAAAAGTCCTGTAGCTGGAATCATAGCATTAGAAGCTTGCTATATTCTGAAAGTGTATTCTTTGGGCTATCAGAAAATGTTCAAGATTACAATTGCAATTGAAGTATTTTGAGTTAATTGCACCTTACAAAATGGGTATAATTTTGCAGGAATCGTGAGCAAAAAAATTTATATTTAAGGTAATATTGCATGAAATAAAAAATAGCTGCTAAAAACATTGAATCAATCATGATTTCACATTCAGAGACAACAAAGAATAATTAAAAATGATTCCTAGCCATGGACAAGCTGAGATACTGCTTTATTGTCACTGTAGCTGAAGCTCTAAGTTTGACCTGTAATTGTTTTGGATGAATCAGTTTTGCAAAGCATGTAAATGTGATACCCAGCATATGTATGATCTGCTTGATCATGTAAAGTTCTGAGTGGGTTCAGGTGGGTGCATGAAGTCATTTGAAAGTCCCCTTCATCTTCATTAATGTCATAGCAACCCACCAGTCATTGTCATATAGGCAAGCAACATACTTTATCGTTCGAGTCCAAATGCCATTCTCTCCCTTCTTAGAAAGAAAAGCAAAGTTTGCTGCAAAGTCTCTGTCATCAGAAAATTACTTGAAAGCAATCTTTTCATCTTAAAGTAGATAAACTGGGGTGTAGCATGCAATTTTGCTTGTTCCAATGGGCTGACTGAATTTCATCTTAAGTGAAAAATTCATAGTTTTCGGCAAAGTCAGCCAAAAAACAAGAATCATCTTCATTTATTCCTTTCACTTAAGGTATTTTGACTGCAATTGTGTAAGAAAAGAATGAGAGGTCAAAGCAACAATACACTTTACAAGCAGCTCAACAAAATAAGCAATACTCAAGAACCTTGTTACTATTTCTGATCTTCTAGTGTTATCACCTTGCTGAAATAAACATCACTATCGCCATCATGTAAACACTGATCAAGAAACCTTTTAAGTACAGATATCCCTGAACAGTTGCGACATCTGTGCGCTATACATTGCTTACTGTCCTTGGAGCAGACAGTCATGTCTATCATATCTCTGTATGTTTTGTTAATGGCAACTGGAAGTGATGAATTTTGATATGTAGTACAACCACAAACAGAATTGTTTCTAATCAGTTTCCTAATCAGTTTTCACTTAAAGATGAAAAGATTGCTTTCAAGTAATTTTCTGATGACAGAGACTTTGCAGGAAACTTTGCTTTTCTTTCTAAGAAGGTAGAGAATGGCATTGGGTTTACATGATGGTGATAGTGATGTTTATTTCAGCAAGGTGATAACACTAGAAGATCAAAAATAGTAACAAGGTTCTTGAGTATTGCTTATTTTGTTGAGCTGCTTGTAAAGTGTATTGTTGCTTTGACCTCTCATTCTTTTCTTACACAATTGCAGTCAAAATACCTTAAGTGAAAGGAATAAATGAAGATGATTCTTGTTTTTTGGCTGACTTTGCCGAAAACTATGAATTTTTCACTTAAGATGAAATTCAGTCAGCCCATTGGAACAAGCAAAATTGCATGCTACACCCCAGTTTTATCTACTTTAAGATGAAAAGATTGCTTTCAAGTAATTTTCTGATGACAGAGACTTTGCAGCAAACTTTGCTTTTCTTTCTAAGAAGGGAGAGAATGGCATTTGGACTCAAACGATAAAGTATGTTGCTTGCCTATATGACAATGACTGGTGGGTTGCTATGACATTAATGAAGATGAAGGGGACTTTCAAATGAACTTCATGCACCCACCTGAACCCACTCAGAACTTTACATGATCAAGCAGATCATACATATGCTGGGTATCACATTTACATGCTTTGCAAAACTGATTCATCCAAAACAATTACAGGTCAAACTTAGAGCTTCAGCTACAGTGACAATAAAGCAGTATCTCAGCTTGTCCATGGCTAGGAATCATTTTTAATTATTCTTTGTTGTCTCTGAATGTGAAATCATGATTGATTCAATGTTTTTAGCAGCTATTTTTTATTTCATGCAATATTACTTTAAATATAAATTTTTTTGCTCACGATTCCTGCAAAATTATACCCATTTTGTAAGGTGCAATTAACTCAAAATACTTCAATTGCAATTGTAATCTTGAACATTTTCTGATAGCCCAAAGAATACACTTTCAGAATATATCAAGCTTCTAATGCTATGATTCCAGCTACAGGACTTTTTTTCAATATTTATATACATCGGTTGGGAATATTTTCAAAACAAGTGATAACCTTTAACATATGACTATCTGCTTCACCTTAGAGAATTGACAAATTCTGATGCAATATTTGAAATCTACAGTATCAAATCAATAATTGACATTATTTTCAAGTAAATATTGACAACTATAGAAAAGTTACAGCTATTGATAGAAAGCCGCGCCCATCGCTTGGTAAACTGGGTGTGGCATATTTGGCTAAAATGGGTCACTTTTGAAACGGCTACAAAATCGCAACCGTAAGAGATATAAGGATAAAATTTTGTATGTGGTGTTTTCTCCAAAATGGCTCGTTGTGGTAAAAAAATCAAGAAATTCTAAGACCATGGGTTACAAATCTTAAAAATATCTGATGATTTGATATGGAATGACCCTTCATTTTCTAAATCTGATAACTAGAAAATCCACCTTGTTCATGGCAATTGCTAGTCACCTCAAAAATCTTTGATTGTTTGGGTCCTTAAAGTTGTTTAGCAAGAGAGACTTTTTAGTGATAATAGCCATTTATTTCTAGCTTGTATAAAAGCTTATTTGCTGTTTGTTGCTCTGTCAGTAAATGGGTCTCAAAAGCGTTTTGCTATTTTTGTATGAACTTGTTCGATCTAGATCATATTTGCTAATGGTCATGGAGTATATGGAGGGAGGTGAACTGTTCGAGCGAATACGGAAGAAGGTCAGTTTCACAGAAAAGGAAGCATGTGAGATAACTAAGCAAGTGAGTATGCCTTTTCATTTTTGTCTTTACATTTCATCAACCAGTGATATTTGAATGATCATATGATATTCAGCATTGTTGCAAAAACTCATCCAAAGTATTATTTATAAAGCATGATAGCAAAGAGCTTAGTTTTGGAAATACATATTACATTATTTGATGAATTGTCAAACCCTGAATACCTGGCCTCATTTTCCAGCTTTGGCACAACCCCTAACCCAATGGTCTTGAAAACAAAGTTGTATTATGAGACAGTTTTTTCAATTCCTACATTCAAACTAAGAGTTTTTTCTAATTCATTTATTAATTTTTTTTCAAGGCGGTTTTATTTCTTTTAGATGTTTTACTGGAATGATATTTTCTTCAATTCCAGGAATTTTATAGTGAAATATTTTGTTCAGTTTTTTAATGCCAGGATTGAATTATCTTGAATTCATTCTCTGCCAAATGGAAAATTTAAGCAAACATGCAGATGAAGTGCAGTAAAGTCAGGCCTGGCTGTTGAAGGGGCCATCACCCATCTGCATTTCTGGACCCTTCAAGATTTCTTGAGAACAGAATTTTTTTCGTCGGTTCTGTTAACATTCATAGAGAAGTGTCCATGTTAAAATCAAACTTGACTAGAGTTTCCAAAAGTCACTTATCCACTCTTCTTCCTCATGTATATAGGATAACAGCATTTTGTAAAATCTATAATGGAAGCTGCTCTGTGATTGTTTCTGAAATCAAAGTTTCAAGTTTCATCTTTTCTTGGGTTGTGAG